TAATAGACTCATAATCGTTATATAATGAATGGAACACACACACACACACACACACGGGCGGGTGCAAGGGGGCGGCCTTCGGCCACCCCCCCGCACCCACACCGTCACAGAGGTCTCCTCCGACAGTACAATCATAGGAACAGTACAATCGTAAAAGTCGTGTGTCCCTGTGCAGGGGGGGGAGGGGAGGTAAAAGTTACTTTACGTGGAAAGTTTAACGTTCCTGAACAAAGGAAGGTGTCAAATAGTACTTAATAGCATATATGTATTATATATCGATGTTAATTTTAAAACTATGATTGTTAATAACTTTTTAACGAAGGACGAGCGACGGCTAAAACTTGCTGGAGGTTACTCAGGGTCATGACCTTGACAACATACGTCAAGGTCAAGGTCATCGGAGGGTCCGTTATAATGCATAATTACCAAATATTGTTCTGTTGGAATGTAGGATGGCAAAAACGAATTATTTTAACTATAACACCATAAATTACACCTTTCTTGTGACACAGTGGATGGTGAGAATGAAAATTTAAAAATCTACCGGAAAAGTTTGCTTTGCGATATATCCGTCGAAAATGAGTTTCTGTTCGTTTAATATTATCAGAGTAAAAAACTTAGTTTACTATCTGTGCCAAATTTCACAGTAAACTAGCATGTAATAAATTAAAGATATCTAAAATATCTCCGATATTTTCAGACGCTAATATAATGTCATATCTATAATAGAACAATAGCTGGACTGGCAACATTTCAATGACCTTTTTTTCTAAATCTTGCATTACCATGTTGCAACTATTGGTGATAATAGTGAATCCATCGGGGTTCCAAAGATTTGATTGTATATTACATTATTGAAGACGAAATATGTAAAGTTTAATAGATTTAACCGGAAGGCAATTAAAAATTCGTTTACCGAAATCTTAGTATTCCTTGATACATAGTTCCACCTTCCAACAATACTATCAGATGCCAAATCTATAGGTATGTTGGAAAATAAGGAAACCACATCAAAGGATACCAATGAGGAATCTGACTTTTCTTTTATTATTTATTATTTATTTGTGAATGTTAACGATTACTTTCTAGATTTATACTTTTTTACTACTAAATAATTTTAACAACTGACATGAGTTTTTAATTATTGACACAACATTTAATACAAGAGATGAAGATATTTAGATAATTATGTATTTTTTTTCTTGTGAACATTAGTGTAATATTATTGTAACATTGAAAATGACCCGATTGGCGTCAAAACGTTTGGATTTACGTAGTATTTATTTTGAATTTTGTATTAAAGTTTCTGTTTCATTAAAAATTGGCTCGTTGCCCTTTAACTATCGAATTTGTTATTTACTTAGATTTTAGGATCTAACAATTCATCACTTGCTATTGTACTATTATACTATAATTAAAAATTATGCGTTAATTACTTTGCTATGTATATATTCTTTTATTGTTACTACATACTATTAATATTATTGTTTTCCCATTAAGTTTTATAAAAAATCGTAGGTTCACCCTGGCCGCTTAGCAATCTTACATCATCAATTAAAGAAGTAATTCAACCTTACATCGAAGTTTTACCGAAAAAAGCTCCTATATTCATTACGGTAATGCAAATTAACTTTAAAATAATTCTAATCAAGAATTATGTTAAAAAGAAATTTTATTTATTATTACAGCCACTGAAAGATATTGCGGTAATAAGCGGACAACCAGCTAGATTCGAATGTATTGTTCAAGCTGAACCACAACCCAATATTTTATGGTCAAAAGATAGTAGAATCGTCGAAAATTCTAAGATTCACGAAGTTCAATACAGAAACGGCATTTGTCGTCTTACTATAACGAGAGCTTTATCTGGTACGATACAAGTAAACTTTATGCTTATATTTAATTCTCTAAATGTGTTAATTTATTATTATATTTTTACAAAATTTTTTTATAAATATTGGGATGGAGAGAGCCAGTGCCAGTGACCTTGACCTTGATTTATATTATTAAGGTCGTGAACCTCCAATAAGTTTTAGTCGTCGTTCATTACTCTTTAAAAAGTTATTAAGAAAAAAAAGTTTAAGAAAATAACGTCTTTTGTTTACTATATGGAATAAAAATTGCTAAAAATAATTTGCTTTAAAAACAAAAATTGTTCTTGAAAACGTTATTTTCTCACAAAATTTTTGTTTTTAAGTTTTTATATAGTAGTGCAAAGGAGCGCACTACTTTCCATGCGAAGCGACTCCCACTCTATCCATGTCCTGCCTTAAAATCGTCTCAGTAATATCTAATGGATTTTAGTTTACAGTCTTTATTCATTGAAAAATTATTAACAAATACAATTGACAATATAAGCGTAACATTTAACTCTTCCTTTTCCCTTAAAATGAAATATTAAAGCAGATCAAGTATCTGCTTTAAAATACAAATTTTCTGATTCATTTCACATTCTTCACTGCTTTTGGCAGAAGGATGATTGGGTGGAACTCGCTTCACATGGAAAATCATAAAATATATATTTTAAAGCAAAAAATTTTTGTTTTATATAGTAGAAAAGAGATATTATTTTAAACTTTTCTTGTTAATAACATTTTAACAAATAATGAGCAATGGCTAAAACATGTTGGAAGTCACATAGAGTCATGACTTTGACAATATATGTCAAAGTCAAGGTCAATGGTGCTGGCTCTCTCCATGTTAACATTTATTATCATTATTTGCATAAAATAATATATTTAAATATAGAAGATAAGTATGTATTCTTCTTATATAGAGGATGCCGGGATTTATGCATGTACGGCAACGAATTATTTAGGTTCCACCATAACTTCTGCTAACTTAGAAGTTCCAGATAATAGACGTTCTATATATGTTCTTATTCCGTAAAAATCTGGTGAAGAAAGAAATCAACAGCCGAATGGAATAAATACAAAGGTGGTGGAATATTTAATTCTTAATTTCAGTTTGTTGATACCGATTTTCACATTGTATCGTGTTATTATATTTAACCGGGTCACAAAATAACTCGGTAAAGGAAACATATATACAAGGTGGTAAAGTGTTACAAACTAATAACTTTAAAAATATTTGTCCTATCAAAAAAATGTTCATGAGAAAGTATATTCGAGAGGACTTTCTAACTACATAAAAAACCACCTCCGTTATCCTTGAAGAGGGGCGGGGAATAACATCAAAGTTTCAAATGGGACTCCCTGTAAAATGTTACATATTTTGTTACATCTACGAGGAAAAACAAGTAAACTTTGTCTGAAACATTTCTTTGGAAAATGTTCCTATCAAAAGTTATGAACATTTAAACTTTTAGCTATTTTATTCACGATTGAACTCCATTGTGTTCAGGATACAATGAAAACGAAAACAACCTTGATGTTAATCAAAAGAAACATAAATACACACATTTATCAGGAAACGTAAATACAGATCTACTATGTATTTAGTTAATTTTAAATGTAGTATTTTAAATGAGATATATATACTTCGTGACAGATGGATAGGTCGGGTAGGTTCTGTTCAATGACCTCCTCATTCACCTGATATACCTTTGAACTATTTTTTATGGCAATATATCAAAGAGGAAGTCATATCTCAACCATTTACGATGAAAGAAGATTTAAAACGAATACGTATACTGCTTGCACTGGTGACTCCAGAAATGTTTTTAGAGTGAAGCAAAATTTTGTAAAAATTTGTAAAAAGAATTAATAAGTGTTTAGACGTTAATGGTCAACAGTTCCAACATTTAATAAAATAAAAAAAAAACAGGAAAACTATAAGTCTTACTTAATTTGTCATTAATTTCAATGCATTCTGCTTTAAAGTTTCAATATTCATAACTTTTGGTAGGAGCATTTTCTAAAAAAATGTTTTAAACAAAGTTTACTTGTTTTTTCCCATAGAATCCAAATATGTAACATTTTACAGGGGTGCTATTTGAAACTTTAAAATTACCCCTCGATCTTCTTCAAGAGGGACGGGGGTGGATTTTTGTTTACGTAGTTAGAAATGTCCCTCGAATATATGAAACTTTTTTATGAATAACTTTTTGATAGGATAAATTTTTTGAGAGTCATTAGCTCGTAACACTTTACGTGGGCCACCCTGCATATAATGCTTGATATATTGTATTCCTTATGCGAAAAAAAATTTTAGTAACTTCTTTAAATGACTAAAAATAAGCGAATAATTTAATTTTAAACTGCTTCTTTTGCATAGCTTGATTCTTATCAGGAAAAACGAAAATTTTTATCGTAATATAAATAAATAAAAATAAATGATGCTACTAATTGTGCTAAAATGTGTAGGTACAATGGAGCAAAAATACAGGATAGCTTTGTGATAATGAGCATAATCATTTTTAATGCTTTTATTCAAATATATGAATTAAAGTTTTAGTGAAAACTAGTCAATTAAATCAAACTAGTCAATAATAAATAATAAATAGTAAAAGAAATAAAAATTCAAAAATTGTAGCATTAAATAGCATATAAAATATTTTAATAGTGCCATTGAACAAGTTAAGAAAAGTTTCTCTCACATACTTTATTTGTCTATGTATATGTTTCAAGTATATTATGGCCTTTTATTAAATATTGTATTATATTTTTAATTTTTCATTAGACATATTAATTAAAACTATATTAATTGATTATACGTGGTTTGAAAATAAACTAAGATAAATAATGAGCATATACCACTACACTGGATTACGCTTTTGAGGCTTTCACGGGTATTTTCTTCAATTATACCAGAAGGTTTGCGGGTTATCACCGTGTCTTTCTTCATTGTTAATGCCAGGCATTAACTACACTGGATCTTTTTTGTGAGAAATTGTCTTTAATATAATTCAATTAAATTAAATAAACATTTTTCGGTCATAAATGTGACCATCTTAAAACGTTTTTCGGTCCTGAATGTGACAAAACGCCAAAAATCAAGTGATATTCTTCGTAGTATATTAGAATAAATTAATGAATATGGTCACATTCAGGACCGAAAAATGTTTCAAGATGGTCACATTTATGACCAAAAAACGTTTATTTAATTTAATTGAATTATATTAAAGACAATTTCTCACAAAAAAGATCCAGTATAGTGGTATATGCTCATTATTTATCTTAGTTTACATATTAATTATTTCTTGCCAAGATTGTTACAGATTAGATTTATAAGATTTATTCTCAGAATTTTAGCTTTACCAAAAGTAATTGAAAATAACATTTGACAAAATAAAAAATAAATACAATTTATTGTTTTAATATAAAGATTAATATCATTTTTAAATTATTCTATTTATATATGATGTGCATAATTTTGTTGAAACTATCGCCATCTGATTTAAAAGTATGATAAAAAAATTACTTTTTATTAAATGGTAAATAAATAAAATTACCATAGATCAAAAAGTTTATATTTTGTGATGACCTAGATGGAATATGGAATATCTGTTATGGGACATGTACGAGGTTATGCCATAAATACAAATTGTTATGCTATTAGCTCCTTGCGACTACAGAAAAGATAATTTATGCATTACATTTAGTATGTGTAATTCAAAAAATACAGTTACAAAAATAACATTTTTCGTAAAATTTTGTATAAACCGACTCAACCGTTTCATGAATTATGTAAATGACTATTGTTCAACATTTATTAAATGATAAAAGATAATTTTAAAATATACGATATTTTAATATATTTTCTCATCGCAAGGGATTAACTTTTATTTATTAATTATTGTTCAGAAATTGACAATAATATTTATATACTATGTAAATAAACGTATGCTTTCTCTATAATCTAATCTTGGGTAAACGGTTTAATATAAATTATTTAACATTCTTGCCTATATATCATCTTCCTTTTTCAAACTGTCTTTATAATTGCCTTCGTTTCAGCATTTACGTATATGATATTGTTAGGTGTATAAATTAATTCTCGGCCCCTATCTTTCAACGATTTCAGAACCCGTTTAAGTTGAACTCCCTCCCTCTGTCGGCATTTTGAAGTGCCATCTTTTAGCTTTAAAATGAGATACAATACTTGATCCTCCTTTGAACATAACTTGAAAAATCAGCAGTAAATACGATGTCGTTCGAAAAGCAACATTTGAGGCATTGCCTTCTTTTCGCGTTTCAACTTTAAAAAAACATGACTGAAGCAAAAGAAATGAATTGTTCAGCTTTGGGCGAGAATGCTGTATCGTACAATACGTGTAAAAAATGGTTCCAACAGTTTCTAGAAGGAAATTTCAAGGATCGTGAACACCCAGATCAACCAAAAAAAAAAGTGGAAGACGTGGAGTTGAGGGAAATTTTGAGATTCGCAAGAAATCTCGATGGATCCTTCGTCACTCCAGAAAACAAAAGCAACGCTACGATACTGCTCTCTCCTTGCTTTCTATAGGTCCAAGAAAATAAATTTTTTGCACAAAATTGTTACTTGTGATGAAAAGTGGATATTGTACGAGAATCCTAAGAGACGAAAATCATAGGTCAATCCAGGTGAGCCGTCAATGAGCATCGCAAAACTGAACATCTATTCAAAAAAGGTATTGCTATGTATTTGGTGGGATCAGAAGGGCGTGATCTATTATGAATTGCTTCGATAATGTCAAACCGTGACTGCTGAGCTCTATCAACAATTGATTCGTGTAATTGACGCTCTTGAAGGAAGGACATTTACTGGCAATGGAAGAAGGAAGATGATACTGAAAAACGCCCGGCCCCATACAGTAAGAATCACTCTGGAAACTACTATATTTCTGACTTAAACTAAGAAATTCTCCCTCATGCAGCGTATTCTTCAGACTTAGCCCCTTCGGTATATTACCTATTTCGAGCCCTACATCACTTAACTGATTCTCTATTCAAGTCAGTTCAAGAGGTCACAAAAAATCTCGATGAATTCATTAATTCAAAGCCATCATCATTTTTCTGGAATCCGGCAATTGCCTGAGAGATGGACAAAATGTATATATAGCGAAGGAGATTACTTTGAAGATAAAGTTTGTATTCATGTTTTTATAAATAAATGTCAAAGTTGATCAAAAAAGGCCGATAATTAATTTGTACACCTAAAATAATGCATCAGTATTAATGATGAACAAAAATATAAAGTAAAATAATTAAACAATAACAAGAAAGAAGGAAGCACAAAGCAAAGCCTATCACGGTCAAAGCTAGATCACGATGCTTATTATCATTATGTGTGAATTTTATATACCGCGTATGTAGTCCCCCAATCGCGTGCCGAAAATTTTTTTTTTTCAGACTTACAACGCAACTCTAAATAACTACCGTGGTAATATCACTTTAGTTAAATTGACAATCAATCTAACAAATTTCGATGCTTATAGCATTTTATTAGATCTTAATAATATGTTGAAAGACATATATTAAAATTTAATATTAAAGTAATGATAATTTAAAATCTGTGAAAAATAAGATTGCGAAGAATATCACAAGTTGGCGTTTCGTCCCGGCTTCCACTACTGGACTCATTAGTAAGGTAATGTAGTGGGAGCCTACCTTAGACGCCGGTGTAAGTTATTAAATCGAGACTCTATATAAAGAGACATACGTGTATCTCAGCACTTGCGAGAAAATTTAACGAATATCAATTGAATAGACCTCTGATGGCGAGTCGACGTAATAATATTCTTCGCAATATTTATCTAAAGTAGTAATAATAACGTCATTTTTCAGGCGACGTGTATTTTAACAAATAATAGAAATTTTTACGACCGTACAATTGTTTCTATTATTGTTCTATTATTTGTAAAATAATTAATTATAAAATAAACAGGGTTAGTCATATAAATGTTATATTATTATATAATATATCAAGCGACACAGTAGTGACGCGACGCCAAGTATATAAAGCGAGTGTGGCTATTTGACGAGAATGACGTGAATGTCACTGCGTTAAACAAATATCGTGGCGCTACTAAGCTTCTCAAAATTTTTTCGTTAAAATTTATTTTTGTTAAAATATCTCAAAAACTTAAACTGTAACAAAAAATATAATGACATTTTTATTATATGTTTCTAGCACGTGTATTCTTACTTTCTCACTACTACAAATTAGAATAGATGACTTACGGATGCAAGAATAGTTAAATTAATTTTTAACGGTTCTTTATTGTTAAATACGCTTAAATACACTTATTGTTAGATAGTAGTTCACATGAGTCTCTTTATTACATACGTTGCACAGTGGTCCGGATCGGGCTGATATATGCGCTCATGGGATTAAATATCGCTCGCGCGCGTGGATGGAAATGTCACAATAATCCGGTATGTCGCCAAAATGTTTCTTAAGAACGTTCACCAGCTAATCGATTTCTATACAAAATGCT